GGTCAAACAACTTCTAAACAACTTCTAAGCCTAATCAAATAAACAAAGTGATATTGTCAATTTCGATTGCCAATGCATATTTAACCGATCTCAAATTCGGGATCAAGCGAGGCGATGAAGAGTGAAATTCAAGGCGAAAATAAAAAAAAAATGACGAACGAGTGAAAGGATGAGGTGATACGTACTTGTGAGGCGAGTGGCTCTGAAGCAGGCGGCAATGGAGTCACCACAGTCGGTCGACTGGCGTCGGACAAAGAAGATGCGCATTCTGAGGGTGACCGGCCAGTGCGGCAACAGGGCTCGGTGCACATGTCCGGGCCATGCGGTGTCGGCCAACAGACAGTCGAGCGCAAACAGGCTGCCGTTCAGAGTGACCTGAAGCTGAGGCGTCCGCTCGTCGCCGTGGCAACGGGCAGCGGATCGCGCAGTGGGCGCCAACGGTGACCAATCCGAGCCGGGCCGGTCGACCGGCTGAACGGGCGGTTGATCGGACGACGGTGCATTTTGGTACCGACCGAAGGCGTCCGAGCAGACTCCCGCCCACGCCGGCCAACTCAAGACGGCCCCGGCGGCAGATGCGCCGCCATTCGCAATTGCGGTTGCGGTTGCGGTTGCGGTTGCGGTTGGAGAGATCGGCCGAGTCGGCACTCGCGCTTCCTCCGCAGGCACCAGCCCGGCGGGTTGCGGCAGAGCTCGACTGGAACCGGCCACCAGACGCCAGCCGACTCGTGGCTGCGGCGGCAGACGGACCCCCTCGACGTTGGTAAGTCGGTCGACGGCGGCGATCCGGTTGTACAGACTCTCGGGCACGATGGCCAACTGACTCAGCAGAAACTGGTCGTAGCCGGCTGTGGGCAAAAGGCGACAGCAATTAACAGACTCATCGATACTACTGACTTGTTTATTTATAAGTAGGCTGTCGAGATAAGAAATAGTTTTATCAAAAAAAGTTGTTGATCTTACTTCCATTTCCAGTGAAAGTGATTGCAAAGTCGATTCCATCAAAGCCCGTCGGTCGATTCTGTTTGACCAGTTGTCGATTGACAGGCTCATTCCTAAAATGTTGTACACCAGCACAACTTTAAGAATTCCATTAAGACCAACCTCCTCCTGCCTGAATTACCG